CAGTATATACACGTGTGGGTGTGCAAGTCCACACACATTGTGGCGGTCAGAGGATGTAGGACATCCGACTCTGTCACTGGCCACTTTGTTGCCTCAAGACTGGGTCTCTTGCTGAACCTGAAGGAGCCCAGTAATTCTGTTTCTAATACCTCCACAGTGTTGGGGTTACAAGCGCACATAGCTACACCCAGCTTTTGATGTGGATTCTGGGGTCTGAACTTGGGCCCTCATGCTTTTATAGCAAGTGCTAGTCTTATCTAGATGACAGAGAATTTTTTCAGTTGCATATTTTGCATTGTGCCCCCCACCCCTGGAGGACCTAGTCTGTTAGCGTAAACATAGTTATTTCACTTATTTCTTTCTTCTTTATGAAGAATGGAATTGATGGCACTCAAGATAACTCTCTCCTTGAGTAGACTTGTTTTTCAGCTGCTCTGGTTCAAGAGACCCCAGTATACCTAGTGCAGAGCTGACACAGACACACACCAACACAGACCACCCAGAGGCAGAAAGACCCACCTACCCTTCCTTAAACAGTGTTCTTTATTGAAGTCAAAGGGTAAGCTATCAGGCTTGGGGCTGTAACTCGGTGGTAGAACACTTGGCTCAAATTTGTGAGCCTCTGGGATCCATGTTAAGAGAAAGAAAAGGAGAGGAACGGAAGAGAGAGGAAATTATATCACAAGTTCACTCGCGTCCCCGGAAGACGGAAGTCCTATGATGACTGTGTGTGGATGCAGGGATGGGAAAGCACAAACACTACGATGGAGTCATGCTAGCATCACATGATCCTAAATTTGACATACTGAGTCACGGAGACAGAGATAAACATGATAGATTGTAGCAGGAATCTTAAAAGTTCTTTTTAATAAAATCAAACCGGAGCCAGGTATTGGGGTGAACTGGAAGATCAGAGAACCAGAACAAGCCACAGCTACCTCACCTCGCCGGATCCTCAGCTGATCTTGTTTGCTCAGACTGGAGGCCTCTGAGTCCTCATCCCAATGGCTCTCAGCTGAATTGCTGCTCAAAAGCCTGAATGCTTAACCAGCCAAATGCTTAACCAGGCCAAATGCTTCTAGTTTCTGGTCCTCACGCCTTATATACCTTTCTGCTTTCTACCACCACTCCTTGGGATTAAAGGCTCGCTTTCTGGGATTAAAGGCGTGTGTCACCAAGCCTGTATGTTTCCAATGTGGCCTTGAACTCACACAGATCCTGAGGAATTTCTACCTCTGGAATGCTGGGATCAAAGGTGTGAGTGCCACCATATTCTAGCCTCTGTATCTAGTGACTGTTCTGTCTCTGACCCCAGATAAGTTTATTAGGGTGTACAATATTTTGGGAAACACAATACCACCACAATAGATTTGTCAGCCAAGGGCTTGTAAGGGCTAAAAGCTAGCACAGGAAGCTGGAAGTAACAGAGCAAGTGCCAGTCTCAAAGGGAACCAGGCACAGTTGGAACCTTCAGCCAGGGGCTTGGCATCCAGAACCATGAGAATTCATTTTTAAAAAATTTTATTTATTTATTTTTGGTTTTTCAAGACAGGGTTTCCCTGTGCAGCCTTGGCTGACCTGGAACTCACTCAGTACACCAGGCCTTGAACTCACAGAGATCTGCCTGCCTCTGCCTCCTGAGTGCTGGGATTAAAGGTGTGCGTACCACTAACTGAGAATTAATTTGTTTTAAATTAGAGTTCGAGCTACTTTGTCCCAGCAGCCTTACGACAAGCACTGCCCCATGCAGAAGCTCAGAATTAGGAAATGGACTCAAACACCCTCACAAAGGATACCTTCTAAGGGAACTGTCCCCTAGAGCTCTCATTGGCACTGTCTAGACACCTGATGGACAAGGGGGCCGACCTGCTCCACACAGTATGCATGAGAAGCCACTGAGCCAGAGGAATGGAACATATGCTGTACCTGACCCAGGGACTGGCTTCCTCCTGGGAACAGGGAGGCTGCAGGGCACCCATCCCTTGTCCATTCTGTCCACTCTCCACTGTGACACAGTAACAAAGAGCAATAGGAAGCCACGGAAACCTTAAGCTCTCCTAATGGAAAGCAGTAGAGAGAACATTAGAAACTATCACGGGAGGAATGGAGGACTGAGGAAGTGGCTCAGGAGGTAGGTACACTTTCTCTGCAAGCAGAGGACCTGAGTTCAAATTCACAGCTGTCAGCAAGTGTAACTTCAGCTTTGGAAGGTGGAAAGGTGAATCCTCTCACTGGCCAGCCAGGCTAAGAAACTTGAAGCTTCTGGTTCTATGACAGACCCAGTCTCAAAGCAATATAGCAGAATGATGGAGAAGACACTTGACAACCTGCTCTGGCCTCTCTACGTGCATTGCACACATGGGCATTCATAACCAGAATTCTGTGCATGCAACACACACACACACACACACACACACACACACACACACTTGAAAGTTTCATTTTTTTTTTACTTGAGATTTTGGCTGTACAAACGCTAAATGTTCAAAATATAATACAAACTAATTTTTCTTCTCTGTACAACATTGTTCTTACGTGAAGAAACACTGATGGCCAAGTTCAACTATGTGATCCAGCCCTTGAGAATAAGCATTAGTTGAAGCTAGAGAGTTAGCCCAGAGGTAAGTAGCGCTTCCTGTACAGACGTGAAGGCTTGAGTTCACTCCCCAGCCCCATCTAAAAGCTGGATATGGTAATGCATACTTAATCTCAACAAAGAGGAAGTCAGAGACTCCGGGGCTCCCTGGCTAGCCAGCCTAGCCTAATTTGCAAGCCACTGAGGGATTCTGTCTCAAAAACCAAGGTAGCTCCTGAGGAATAATAGCCAAGGATGACCTCTGACCTCCACACTAATGTGTACACACACCTTCCCTCCCAAGTAAGCAGCTAGTAAAACTGATTTAGAAATTTATTCCGATACCATCTAGGATATGATATATCCATGTCATTCACTTCATAGATGATCTAAGAGAAATGTTTTACAAAATGTTTTAAAATTTGAAACTTTCTAGCAAAACGTTACAATCTCAATAAATATATAACTTATCCTGAAATGCACACGCACTTGTCAAGTCCAGCTCACAGCTCCTTATTCTTCTGTCTCGCGCTCTCTAAACAGCACATAAGGAGCAACGTCAAGAGGCAGAAACGCGAAGAGTGAAGAGCGCACACCACGGAGAAGATGAACTTGCTGCCACCCAGCCCTGGCCTTCCCTACTGCACAATGAGGATTAGTGATCCTGAGGAGTGGCTGGGGACGGCTCGGTGACACAGCACACACTTAGCATGCACAAGGCTTTGCACTGACTCACAGCACCACGAAAAATAACGGGAAAGTGTGATGCATGCCACCGATTGCGAAACAATCCATACTCTGCAGTGCTGGAAAGATGACTCAGTGGTTCGGTCTCACTGATCTTGCAGAAGACATGGATTCGGTTCCCAGCACCCACATGGGGGCTGGCAACCATGTTCACAACCATCCAACATTCTAGCCTCTGTGGGTACTAGGCACCCATGTAGCACACACACACAGGCGAAACACTTGCATACATGCAATAACAATAACTGAAAAGCATCCTTAAAAAAACAATGCATGCTCTGTAACAACAGTAACACACCACTGCTGATCACCCAGTCACAGCTCAGTACAAATTCCCTTACCATCTAGTAAATTACTCCCTTGGGTTTCTACATTTAAAATGAAAAGTCGTGGATACTAATAATGCACCAGGCCAGGCATAACAACAAAAGCTTACTGATCTGAATCAACTCATGAGCGGTCCAGGGAGGGAAAGAGCAGAGCCACACCAAACTTCTCTTGGCTCATCACTCAGCAGCTAAGGTTCCGCCAAAAAGCAAGCGGCAAATATCTCCAGATCTGTGCTGTGATGATTCACTTCATCAGTATTTCCTAAGAATTGTACAGAAACCGCTTTTGTCTCTGGATGGGGAATTTGTAGAACTTCAGAAGTTACGAAACTGAGAGTCTCTGGGGGAATGACTTCTAAACAGAGAACAGGCAGTTACAACAGCCTTCCCCAGTCCACGAGCTGGTTTATGTTGTTATCTGCCATGCACAGAAGATGAGGCGCCTCTTTTATAGATCTTGTAGGCCACTGACATACCGTATCATGCATTTCAAATAGAAAAACTACCCATCTTTGAGATATAATTTCTGAATCTTAATCTTCTTGAAAAAGAAACAACATTGGCAATTTGCAGGTTGGATGTGAAATCTCCCCACAAGCGTATGTGTCTGAGCATCTGGGTCCCATCTGGTAGCACTGTCCTAGGAGGTTGTGGAACCTTTGCCTCTATGGCCTAGCTAGCAGGAATGGGTCATTAAAGATGACAATCCCCTCTGTGTCTAGCCTTAGCTCTCTCCTTCCTGACCCAAAAGTGCTGTCACGGAGCTACACCGACCCTTTATGCCTTCCTAGTCATGGCAGAGACTCACAGTCTCCTCTTCCTTACATTGCTTCCTTCAGTTATTTTGTCACAGAGACAAGAAAGCAACTATTATGGAAACATGTAATAGGTATGTGTTAATTGCAATTATCACTGAGCAATTAAGACAAGAACAATCAAGCGCTGAGGCTGCTTCTTTGCTTCGTGACACAGACAGCCAGGGTCTGCATAATCAGCACATTAAACAAGTCTGTTTAATAAACCAAAACACGAGGTACTAAAGACATCACACCAAACAAACAGGCAGACACAAACGTGGTATATTTTAAAAGCCAGATATATTTTAAAAAGATCGTGCTTACAATAAGTAAATTATGTAGTGAAGAAACATGAAATTGATGAGTAAAAAGGCACATTTGAAAAGTTTCAGAGTACGAAGACTTCCTTGTTTGTTCTACTAACACAGGAGGAAACGGCGTCAGATATATTACAATTACTTTCTCAGGGGAAGGTTTCTGTCAGTGGAAATGATTAACACTGGCTTCTTTTCTCCCTTCTCTGGGGCAGTCTTTCCCTTCCTTGGTTTGGAGAGGCGAGTTAGTCTTCTGCCATGTAGAGGCGATACATCAGGGCTACCGCCAGGGCTGAGACGGCTGGGATCACCCAGTTAGTCCACCAACTAGAAAGACACAAGAGCAAAAAGATGCTTGAGTGATCCTCAATACAGAGACCTCGGCCTGCCTCTGACGGAAAACTACCACAGCATAGTTTCCTCACTTCTAGAACCACTTTAGCTAAAAGGACGGCTCAGCTTTGCTAAGATGAACTTGAGCACAATGCACACCCTGGAATGCTGACCTCCCTGCCCTCCCCTTTTGTCATCATGAGAAAACTCACACCCGTGCTCTGCTTCCATCTAGTTCTGTAAACTTTATACAGAGAGCTGCTACTGCTCCCTCAACGGCCGCTGCCTGGAGCCGTGACTTTCCCATGACATTATACTCTGGGACACCTACCTCAAGGCTACACAGGGGAATGCTCCTGGTATGTTTTGCTCTCTTGCAAGCATCGACTAAGCATTTTAAATAGCACTAAGATGAGAATCAGACGATCAGTGTTCCCATTTGGAGGACACTGTCAGCAAACTCTACAGCTGAGAACAGACCCTGTCCCCTGAACCCCGAGTACTAAGGCTGCCACTCAACCTCGGCTTTAACATTCTCAGATCCTCCTTCAAAAACCCAAACTTAATATCTACGCTAGATGGATTTAAGCTGTTAAGAAAAGACATGCCCCAAGTATTTAGTCTGTGGTCTATCTCCCAAATTCCAAAGCATATCTAATTTATACATTGTTCAGCTTTTATAAGCTTTCAATATATGATAAATTAGAGATTATGGGAAAATCAGGGACACAGCTGGGAAGACCTCTAATGTAGTTATGGATTTTTAAATGGGATTTCAAGCTTTAAATCTCAACTTTTTAAAAGATAGAAATCAATGCCTACGCTCAGCACCCCACAATACTATGCATACATACATACATACATACATACATACATCTCCCCTCCTAATCTCACTCTTCATGTATCAACCCATTCAAAGAACAAGTTCCATTAGAAGATATAAGGTGTGACAGATTACTAGCACAGTCTCCATCTGAGTGGGCCTTTTCAGTTGACTCAGAGAGAGGCTAGCCTGACAGGAGAAGGGAGGTGAGGAGCACGGCCAGCAGGCAGAGAATGTTCTAGAACACTAAGAGAGCGGGACAATTCAGTTTGATAGGGTGAAATACAAATGTATAGCTTTCAGCTTGAGTCTAAAAATGAAAACAACAACAAAATGACCATGATTCTTCTCTAAGTCAATCTGACATGACGGAACCGCCAAAAGCCAGCTTGGACCGGAATATGGAGGGGAGATCTGGCTCCTGTAACAAGAGCGTCGTCACGCTGCACTCGGATTAGAGGGTTTAACTTGAGTTACAACTAATGAAAACTGAACCATGCTTGTGGAAACACAATGACCACGGTCTTCAAAGGTGCCCGTGTGTCAGGGAAGAAGGAAACGGAACTCAGCCTGTAGGAACAACCACCGCAATGATCACCCAAGGGACTGGAGGCCATGGAAATAAGGAATCCCACTTGTTCGCTGTGGTCCCCAGTGTAGATACATTCGGAGGGCCATGACATCTAGGGTCACTGTGAAAAGTCTAGGGTGGAAAGCCCCGAAGCTCTGGGCACACATGAGACCATGCCCAGATTGGTGGCTGAGAAGGATAGTGGGAATTCAAGCAGAGAATCAGATATGGGGGTGTCAATCAACTCTGACTCCTGAGCCCTCCAAGAGACCTTGTCTCAAAACAAAACAGACAGACAGACAGACAGACAGTACGTACCTGGAATTAGAGTCGACAGTAGTAATGAGAGGTTCCTGGGACACAAAAGAAAACATGAAGTTAAGGATACATCTGAGCATTTATCCCCCTGATTGAAATCCTGTTTTAATATTTTTTTTTAAAAAAATCACCATTTTATTCAACTCTATCTTTTAAAAATTGTTAAAAGGGACAATTATATCCAAGTTCTTCTTACCAAAAAGCCTAAATTTACCATTTTTCAAGAAAATGAAAATGTAAGGACAATTTTCCTTAAATTACTTAAGAATATAAACTTTATAATTTGAAAATGTTAATAGAATACATATAATAATCCACTTTTAACATTTCAGCACTTCAGCATAAAAACTGAAAACAGAATACTCATGGACACATATGCAAGACTGTATTACTGTCTTTTGGAAAGGAAATTTAATTCTTCAAAGCATGGAATATTAAGTAAAATGTCATTTAATTCATTCAAATCTGACAGGGCTTAAAAGTGTACCTATGCTACATTAGAAGTGCCTCAACTAAAACAATAAGAATTCGTGTCACAGGCTAGACCACCTTTTCTGAGATTTCTTTAACTCACTGCATGGCACCAGAAAGAGCCCAGACTAACTCAGAAACCACTCTGCCTAACCAACCAATAAAGCTCTGTTTACCTTCCAGCACTTTCTGAGCACAGTCCTTTTCACCAGGACCATAAAAAAAAAAAAACAAAAACAGAAACAAAAACAGACATATTTTCCCAAACCGTTCAAAACCTGCAGCCCCGAGAAGCACACACGTTTAGGGTTTAACACTTGTTAGGAAGCACACTGGTCATGTTCCACACCGGCGAAACTGTTAGTGCTCAACAAAAGCAGCTACAGACAGGCCAGCGCCATCGGAAAGTCACGGCTGTACCTCTCCGCGGCACAGATGAAAACTTCGGGAAAGCAAGCGGCCGTCTGCGGCAAGGCAAAGCGGCGCCCCTGCGGGGGGTGTTAGAGAGACTCCCCCCCCCCCCCCAGAGGCAAATTCACTTTAGGGGTGCATGAGCAAAGCAGGCCGGGGACACACACCAACCTTGACACATCACCTTTAGGGTTCCTGACACAGTAGGGAAGAAAGACAAGTCCTTTAGAAAGAAAACTTCACACTTGTTACCTCTGCAAGCAGACTGAAATCCTGGTGGTCATGGGAATTCATAACCAGTACAAGATTGTTTTTCATGAGTATGATTAACACTGACTACCAGAGACAATTAGATACACCAACCAAATAGTATTCATTTATTAGAAGAAACACAATCACAGAAGACACCAAAGAGCTCGCCGAAGGCACAAGACTATATCGCACGCTGGATAGTTAGTGTGAGGAGGCAGACACTCGCTCGTGATACAGGCAGGGACTTATGCATTTTCAGGGGACCCTGTGCAACCTCGGGTGGCCTTCCTTGCCTCCCCCATCTTGGTGGCTGCATGGCTAACACGAAGGCACCGGCGTAAGGTTAAAATATTGCTGAGACTCAAACATGCCCGCGCCAGTTAAGACGCTGTCATAAGGGCAGGCGAGATGGCTCAGCGGGCAGAGGCACTTGCTTCAGAGCCCGACAACCTGAGCTCTCCTGATCCCTGGAGCCCATGCGATGGAAGGAGAATCAGTTCTCCTGAAAGTTATCCTCTGACCTCTGACCTCTATGTGTGCGTGCTGAGGCACACAAGCCTATGTGCATACACACACACGAAATAAATAAATATTTTAAAAGTTTAAATATAAGTAAATGAAATGGTCCTAGCATATCACCACCACCACCACCACCACCATCACTGGTAACGATGACCCTCCAAATGGTAGAACTTAAAAAAAAAAAAACATAGTTTTTGAATTGTCTATTTTTTTCATAGCCTTAAAACCCAGAATGCTTGAGAATTTAAGTTGTAACGACCACATAGCAGTGGGATAAAGAAGTCCGTTTTCTCTAGTGGCCAGTGTTCTGAGGGGCTCAGCTAGGTTCAGGGAAGGAACTCAAAAAGATCAGCCACCTGGTTTCTGTGCAACTTGGAGACCTTCTAACTTGTAGTAAAAAAGGCTAACAACTGGTATATGGTGTGTATAATGACTTACAGAGGTCATGTGAGTCAGTACAAATTATGATTAGCATCTTATAAAAAAAATACCAAATCCACAAAGCCTTTGCAAACCAGCTACCCCAATGAAGTTCACGTGGCCTAGCTCACTCCTTCACTGGAAATCCTGACAGCGGAGCCTTCCTAAGAAGTTCAGAGATTCCGGCAACTGAGGAGACCACAGCTAGACGTGTGATTTTTCACCAGCAGCTCACTGGAGCTTCAGGGCCTCAAGGTCTGGGGATCTCAGAGACAAATACAACCTTGCATATCACGGTGCTTTGAAAATAACAAGGAAGAGCACCAATACTACTAATACCTTCTATGTAAGCGAATTTGGTTGCTGTGGATACATTTAAAGACATGTAATTTCTGCGTCTGTAAATTCCTTAACTTGGCAATTTAGCTTCTTTTGGGCAGGTTCAAGCTAATACTCACCAGTACATCATATTTCTCCAAATTAAACTGACATTTTAAGTAAGTAATAGTTTTTTCTTAACACCAAGGACTAACGCATACACCTAAGCATACTTGTGAAGTGCTCTACAGCTGCGCTCCAATTCCAAGCACAATGTTTATTTAAAAACATCAGACCACAGAACACATTCTCCAGCCTAAAGACGATTGCATGTGACCCTGGGAAATAATTAAAGACACAGTTTTGTTTGGCAGAAATAACAAAGCCCCCAGAAAAGTGGCAACACATTTTCTACTGTGTCCCTTGCTTCCAGCCTCTCAAATAACCAGCAAGGGTCACCCCCATTTCTTCCAGCTCTGCTCCTGTTTAAGCAAAATCACAATAGGGAACAAAGGTTTTTTTCATTTGTTTGCTTTAAAACAATAAAATAGTCCAAAGTCGGTCCATCTGTAAAATCTTGAGAGTAAAAGTATCTCCTTTGAACAGTGAGTAGATGCAGATGCCAGCGAGAGGTTCCACACCCACTGAACCATGAGTGATGGAATGAAGGCCCAGTGTCTTACTGAGAGCAGCTCCCTCCTGCAAAGATGGGCAGGGGGGCTTTCAGTAATGCTGACAGTGCCAATCCCAGAATTCATCCTGCTCTGTGCTCTGTCCACCAGCTATCCCAAACATCAAAGTGATTACAAATGCAAATAGAAAACTAGACACCCACAGCGAACAGCAAACATAGCAGGAACACACTGCCCTTTGGGACAGGCCTCCCAGGCTAGCCTCAAACTCACGATGTAGCCAAGGGTGATTTCTGGTCTTCCTGTAATCATTGTAATCACTCTCACAAGCACTCAGGATTACAGGTGAGCAGAATAATGGCCAGTTGTTGGAGATTGAACCCAGGGCCTCATGCATGCTGGGCAAGCACTCCGAGATACACAGCTGCACCATGAACACGTTACTAAGAACAAATGGACAAGGGCCTGCAGTGGTCCGGGGTATGAGACATGCTTACCACCCCACACCTGCACAGGCACTACGGTTAGAGATGCGGTTAGCCTGCAGCAGACCAAAGCTCAGGAAACAAACCTCCCCCAAGCCTGTTTTCCTGCAGGTGAATGACTTACAACAAAACCATTAACATACTAAACATCTCACAGGACAGAAACAGACTTTTCCCTGACAGACTCTTGGGTCGGGGGGGGGGGGGAGGCAGGATACACATGGGACAAATTGGTGCTCCAGTGTTTCAGCTGCCTGTAAAACAGCCACAAAAACCATGTACTAGTCAGATTCTGAGCAACTGTCACAGACAGCATGCAAATTCTCAACACCATTTTGTTTTTGTTTTTTGTTTTTTAAATCTTCCTGAAGCACTCCTATCACCAGGGTTAAGTGTGTTCTCATTCTGAACAGGACAGGGGAAAACAGAAGTTAAATCGCCATGTACTGAAAAGCACACACATGGCTCTTCTTGCACTGTGTGAGAGTCGGAGTAAGCACGGCACATCCGCACACACGTGCACACACACACACACACACACACACACACACACACACACACACACTGTGGAATTACTGATGTCAGGCACAGCAAACAGCATCGTGGTGGCAGAAACGGCACAATGGACTTTCCAGTACTCATTGCAAGCTCAGAGACGCTCGTCCTGTGTGCCTTCTCCACGAGGACCAGAAGCTCAGAGCACAGTGGAAAAGCTCAGCTTTCTTGCTGTCAATTTTTAAGCAAAACCTTCCCTCAGCCTTCCTTCCTTCCAGGCCAGAATTAACTCATGCCTGCTTAGACTTCTCAGGACCTCTGGCTGGCTGTTCTCATAAATTCTTACTCTAGATTTAATGAGCAAATTAAGTGAGAAGGTCAGCTCAGACTGAAGACTCGCCTTTTCTGAATGCCTACGATGCCACAAAGCTACAGAGAAGGAGAGGCATGGGTAGTCCCTTCAGAGTTAGGGAGGAAAACATGCTTCCACTTAAACAAGCTCTAAGTCCTCTGAAAATAAGGCTTAGGTCAAATCTTTCAGAGAGAAGCACAATTTTTTTTTTCCCACTCACTCTATCTGGTACTGGAGACTGAACCCAGGGCTTCATGCATGGTGAACAAGCATGTTCCATTAAACTATACACCCAGACTTTTATTTATTGATAACTATGATGTTTTAAAAAGTAATAGATTAGTTGTACAAAGCAACAAACAAATTCTCTTCAAAACCACAAGGACCGTAAAACAAACAAACAAGAAACCCAAACCAAACTCTTGCAAAGCCAGAAAGTTACATATCTACCTCACCTAGAAAGACCTGCTGTGACCTTTGCCCCATTTGGACATGTACTCAGTACAGTAAAGGTGCACAGTGTCCTCTGCCCACCACCGCTCCTCCAGACGTCTGCGCAAACTTACCGAAGGCTTGGCTATCTTGGATCTGTCATCCTGTGAGGAGAAAAGAGACGAGCGAGCAGTAAGAATAACAGGACTGCATCTGTAAAGGTCTCATTTTCAAAAGGCTGACCGTTTTTTGAGATTTTTTAAAAAAAATTACTATTCAATGATTAGCATTTGGTGTTCAGCAAAGTTAAATACAAACCTTGATCCATGTGATTTGACAGCAAAGATCAACAGTAGATTGAGGAACAAGAGGCATTTCCGTCTACGGTCCCCGAGTTTGGAATGGACGCATGACTGTCTGGTTCTTACGTGGAGGCGTTTAGAGGCTTACTAGAGTTGAACTATGACTTTCAATCCACAGAACAATGGAAAACAAGACCCTTCCCTTCCTTCTCTACTCTCAAGTTCACGGAGATATGCATCTTTCTGCTGTGGTGGCCTCAGTGAAGCCTGCAATCTCCCAGCAATATAATTATAAACTATTTAAACCTCAGGCTGAGGATGTCAAAATCTAAGAGCATCTGAATGCTGACTACAGAGAAACCACAGGGAGGTGACCTAAATGAAACCTGCCCTCCCTCCTCAGGGGAGTAGAACTTAGAGGAACAGGACAGAGAGGGACGTTCACAAGGACAGACCTTGCAGATGCAATACACCCTGTTACTTCTGGGAAGTGCGCCTATGAAAATGTGTGGAACGATAAAACTTCCAGACAAGTGAGACAGAGTCTCTCAAAGTATATATAACCTCCCAGCAAATCCAAAAGACCATAGACAAGCAGACAAACAGACACAGGCACACACAGAGACAGACATAGACACACAAACACAACTCAACAGAATTTGCTCTAAAATGGATTTCTGGGACTTCTAAAAAGAGCCTACTTTTATCTTTTCTTCATTTGTGGTTCTTACAAGAACCATCATTCACACACAGAAGACACATAAAAACAGGGATATGCCTGTATTTATTTATCTTATCTTTAGTTTCTTGTTTGCTTACTTAGGCTGGGGCAGCTGGCTATTTGTCTCTCATCACAAAAAGTGTATTCACGGCCACCCTTCACTCCCCTGGCTGCAAAACTGACTGGACTGATGATCTGCCCTCTGTATGTGCCTCTCTGTGGACTCTCAGAGACTGGTGAGTGTCCCCGGGACAGGGCCTTGGAGCACAGCATTCTGACCCTGAGTATAACAATAACTATAATCAAAAAAATGCAAAGCAAAGAAAGGTTGAATCAATTTATTTATGACAAAATGGTGTCCTGGTGGCGCCTATAATCCTAGCACTTGAGAGATAAAGGCCTGAGGCGTGAGTTCCAGGCCACCATGGGCTACATAGGAAGCTCAGGCCAACCTGGGCTACTTATTGAGACCCTGTCTAAACAAAGTATTCGAAAATCAGAAGAAATGGTTTCTGTTCTATTCTTTCTTACGTTTTCTGTAGTTGCAAATCCTGACTTACCAATGACAAACAGTAGCCTTCCAGAAGAAGAAGAAAGGCACCCCCCACCCCAAGAAATGACTTACTGGATGGAGCTCCCCGATGATGTATGTTTTAGACAGTTCTCGCGCGTCGGTAGAGTGCCCAACATCCTCAAAGTTCTCAGTAGCATCGCCCCCAGCTTGCTCTCTTAGGACTTCTTCCCCACCAGGATGCTGTTCAAAGGACAGGTTGCATGACCATTAAAATCTTTTCAGGAAAATGAGCTAAAAGGAAATGGTTAGTTTATTTAATCAAATAGCCCACCCCGGAAGTCACAGATGATAATGGCTGACTCTTAGGTGTCTACAACGTGGACTATAAGCATGCTTCTTCACTATCCAGTTCCTTGGTACAGCAGAAACTTCCTCTCATGCTATTTGTCCCCATGCTTCCGACCCAGCAGCGGTGTCATAGGATAGCCTTGATACTGTGGTAATGCCTGCTGTGCTTTTCAGGAAGTTCCCCAAATTTCCCCCCCGTCATCTGTCTCTAAACTGTCTCTTCTACTTAAGACTCAGACTTGGGACCCTCTCAGTCTGAGTGCGGACCAAGGAAAGACCATTCATTGGTCAGAGAGAGGTGAGCACAAAGTTTCCCTTCAGGATGCACTCTGTACCATGTACAGCCAGCACTGCTCACCAGACAAGCAGGAAGGCTCGGGCGGGGCATGATATTAAGTAGCTGCCATCAGTATAAACTGAACATCTAACAAAAAAGAGAGTCCCCTTTCCACATGGGGATGGGCAGAAGGAACCTTGTATTTGGCAGAGGCATCTTAGTGCTCTTAGTTGCAGTAATTGGAAAAACAAAGGACAGTCATGCTTCAGAGAGCAGAGTCCAACCAGAGACAAGAGACCTTAGGTGACAAGGCCTAGAGACTCCTGGGTAAGAGTTCTCAGACACACAGAAGGAAAATACACTTGGTTAAATCATCCAAGACACTCTGGCAGGAAAGCAAAGCAAAGAAAAAAAAAAACACTTCTTATATTTTTGGTTATGAGTATAGCCTTTAACAGCTCAGCCACCTCTCTAGCCCCCAAAACCACCTCAGGGTCCATAAGCCAACTCCCTATGCAGCTGACTGCAATTGGGACTTCCTTCTTCCCAATGACAGAAAATAACAAGGACACCCACTATTGTTCAAAGGTGGAGTTATTCTGCTGCTGAAACCTGTTCCTTCTTTACTTGGACACATCTAGCACTAAAGCGTACTGTTTCTTCCTTCTTTTTCATAGAAGTTATCACAAGCTACATTGTATGAAAAAAGTCAAGAAACACAAACAATACAATAATATTGGTTGATAATCTTGCTGTCAAGGGAGCTAGACAAGGAAAGTTATGATCATTACCTTGCACACTCGCTTTACTAAGTACAAAGCAGATGAAGTTCCAGAGTACAGAGATTGTAGCTTCTAGTGTTTACTACATACTCTGTGTGGTGGTTTGAAGGAGAATGACCCCTATAGGCTCCTAAGTTTGAATGCTTGGTCCCCAGTTAGTGGAACTGTTTGGGAAGGATTAGGAGGTGTGGTCTTATTGGAGGACATATATCACTGGGGATGGGCTTTGAGGCTTTAAAAGCCCACACCAGACCCAGTGTCTCCCTCTCTCTGCCTGCTGCTGCCTGTAGATCATGATGTAAAGCTTGCAGCTACTGCTCCCATGCCATTCCTGCCTTCCTCCTGCCATAATAACCATGGACTAACCATCTAAAACTGTAAGCAAGCCTCTGACTAAAAATGCTTTCTCTTATGAGCTGCCTTGGCCATGGTGTCTTTTCACAGCAATAGAACACCAACTAAGACACTGTGGGAACTTGAGAAAATACTAGTAGTTGGGGGCTAGAAAGGTGGCTCAGCAGTAAAGAGCATTTGCTACTTGCAGAAAACCAGATTCGGATCCCAGCACTCACGTGGGGTGGCTCACAACCACCTGTAATTCTAGTGTGGGGGAAGGGGATCTGTCCACATTTGGTACACATACATACACTCAGGTACAACACACACAAACACATTAAAAAAAAAGAAGAAAATACTGGTCACAGCTTTGGAGGATATATTTTAAAACACATCAGACACATATCACTATGTTTAATAAACACGACAGTGTCTTACTAAACACTTCCCAATATTAGTGTCTGTCCTTAGCATGACTTCTTGCACTGCATAAACATTGCCCTAACTCACTGGGATGTGTTCTGCTCCAGCCATTCTGACAATGAGAAGTAACTGATAAGAATCAAATGCGCACGGAAGACGCTAGATGTATCTCACAGGTGTGGCAGTGGTAATCAAGACTTTCTGGATCTGGAACAATCTGGAACTGCCAAACAGTGATCTGACTTAGGAGCAGAAAGGCAGGCAGGTAGGAGATATGAAGTGACCAATGTCCCCACAGCCCAGAGGTGACCAGTCCCTCACTACTGCTCCTCAGCTAATGACTTAATTCACAAGTTACTCAACTTGGGATTCCTGCTCAGGACAAGTGAGTCTCAGCAGATCTCCTGGAGTCTCACTGTCCACCAGGAACAGCCTGTCTTCCAGGACAACACAATGAGGTGACGCCATCACCTCGGTCTGCTATGGAGTCATGGGAATCCTGGAGTGTAAGTGCCACGGTGGAGGAAGCACACATCCCACCTCAGTTACACAATAATCTTAACTCAAAGAGCAGTGCAAAGGGGCAGCCCTCACCATACACTCCCATGGGAAAGGAAGCAAGGGCCGTGTTTGTCTGAAGCTCTGTCTCCAGGGTGGACCTTGCCTAAATCCTTTGTCACGCAGTGTTCTAAGGGAAGAAAGAAAACATTTCGGGCTATTGGTCTCACGGATCGCTGTTGAGTGTGTGTGTGTGTGTGTGTGTGTGTGAGTGTGTGTGTGTGTGTGTGTGTGTGTGTGTGTGTGTGTATGTATGTGTGTGTAAATAACTTAGAAAAAACACAACACCAAATAAATTGATTGCTGTTGAAATGTTGTAATTCTACCCTAAAAACTTTTTTTGGAAGAATCAATAAGAAAATCAAAGCCTGAAAAATTGTTATAAGATAAAATAAACTTCAAGTCCTGATAAGACAGCAAAGATAAGGGAGTAACTCTTGGTAATATCCAGTATTTTCCTTGAAATAAATGATGCACACAGAGAAAGAGAATGTGCTTGCCATGTAAATTAAGTCTACCTCATTACATCATAATTGTCTGAAACTTGGCAATTCTTCTGCCATTCTTATTCTTGTTAGTAGGATACACCGTAGTTTTCATAAGCACACAAGGTAGTTTAAGACTGTAATTGTGATTAAAAAAAAAAACAAAAAAACCTAGGAGTGCACATAGTGTTCATGTCCTATCTTTTGGGCATGTTGTAGAATTTGGGAGTGGCCCACAGAAAAGGCTTTGAAAGAGAGGTGGTGTGGGAGCCTATTTTCAGGTTTCTGGTGGCTTTACCCAGCAGGTCTGCATAGAGGGGATGATTAGGACCACAGGCCTGAGTGCAGGTGTCTGAGATGGTCTGCACTTGGCTGTGCCGGGGGGGTGGGGGGGGGGTGTTTCTTTTGCTCCACCCCTTGGCATTTCTATAAATACCCTAGGGCAGAGACAGTCAGGGCCCGTTAGAATAGGTTCCAGGCCCTCTCGAGGCTATCCTGTATTTTCTATTTATCTCTACACTCTAAATCCTTCTATCTAATGTTTCCTGCTGCTCTCACTCTGGGGAAAACTCTGGGGAACTGTGGGGTTGGTGGGTAGCCATCCCACAAGGTGGTAGGGTAGCAAGTGCCTGGTGATTTTCCTGAATTAAGGAATGCATAACTGCACAAAGCCAGGGGACGGGTACATCCACATCAGACGTCTGCCTCCACCCACCCGACTCTGACAGCAGCAGGCAGCTGTAGAGCCCGGAAAAGGAGGGAAAGGTGGAAAGGGACACAGGCTGAGTAGAACGAGACAGCCAATCGTTTCTGTGAAGGGTTCCCATTTTCCCAAAGGAATATTTCATTTTCTGTGTATGTGGCGCTAGTTAATTCGCACGACAAATACATGCCTTGTGTCCTCAAAAACCGGACTCAAGAGTCGGCACAAACAGCCCTGGTTCCTGCCTGCAGAGGCCACGGTCTAACAGGCAGACATGAACCATGCTCAACTGTGAACACCAAGTGAATGTCACTTCTGAAATCACATGGTGAGTGCCACCAAGATGAAAAAGGAGTGTCACCAGTGGAGAAAAAAATGCAGAGACAACTGGAGTTGTGAGGGACAGGAGTTCCAGCAGGAAGTCCCTCTAATGCAGGAGTTCAGGGACAGGAAGGAAGCCAGCCTGGGACTCAGGAAGGGCAAGGACAGGACAGGCCAAGAAGGCTCCCAGGTCTTTTCAAGGATCTTGGTCTTTATTTGGTGAGCAATGGGAAGCCACTGACACACATTTAAGAAGGAATGAAGGTGAGAAGTCACATTTCACTTTGAGAAGAGTCCTGAGGGCAAGAGAGGGGAGAGTAAGTAACCTAGGCTAGAAAAGCTGACAGCTCATAGTGCGAGCAGGCCGGATATGAAGACGGGAGATGAGGGAATGGGAGCTGGTGTGGGAATGAGACATGAAAGACGTGAGACAGAATAGATCACAGGGCTTCCAGTCAGTGAAGAGTGACTCAAACATTGATGAATGGACGACCGAACGCTTGGAAGACCCAAACGACAGCACTAACTGAAGGAACTGGGAATGGGAATCCATAGAGACCAGATCTAAACTGGTTGTTGGAATAACCTTAGCGATGCACTCTGTGCACATAGCTTGAGAGATTATAATTCTTTCCATGTATTTTTGTGAATTCCCAACTTCCTTAGCTGCCCTGATAAACCCTGATCCTGCCAGTACATGAGAACTCTCAGAGATGAGGGAATATCAATAACTGGTGTTAAATAGCCTTCACTTTTTGATCTGAAAAAAAAAAAGGAACTCTGTTTTAAAATACTAAAAGTTGGCACTGTCCATTAATCGAGAAATTTTCTGCCACATCTCCAACTCAGGACTAAGGATACATTCAGGAAGTCATGATACAAGTTGCACATTCCTAATCCCCAAACCCCAAATCCAAAAATTTACTGAGTGCTGCTGGCATGATACCCCAAACGGAAAATCCTATAATCTGACTTCATGTAAGGGGTTATAACATAAGTACACTAAA